AGCTGGGATGGGATCCGTGCTCACCTGGATGGGATATCCCTTCCACACCTCCCGGAGGTCGTAGAACCAGGGTTTCTGTGCGAGGGGAGACACAGGAGTCAGAGGGGCCAAGGGGCCTGGGAGAGCACGGGAGGGGGGCAATACTCACATCCACTATGACAGCCATGCCAGCAATGAAAGCAATAAGGTAAAAGGTGAATCTCCAACTGGAAAAAGGAAGCAGACGGTTCTCAGACGGGCACCGGGGAGCAGGAGGGAGGACGGACCCACCGGCCCCGGATCCCGCGTCTCCCACCCTCCCAGGCAGCTCGGCCCAAGCTGAGACTCCCAGAGCCCCCCCAGGAGGAGGGACGGTGACACCAGGCAGGAGGGGGGGGTCTCACCTGGCCTCCCGGAATTTCTTGAGCAGGCTGGGCCGGTCCTGGTTGCGGCGGCGGCGGAACCAGCGCTCGACCTGGCGCACGGTGCAGCCGCTCTTCTTGGAGAGCATCTCCACGTCGGCCTGGGGACAGCAGGGCAGCCCCACTGTGTCACACAGCCCTGGCTCTGCCACCCTCACCCCACCCCAGGCACCTCTGGGGACCCTCACCTGCTTCGGGTGTTTGGTGGTGGCAGCATAAAACTTCTCCAGCACGGCATTGGGGGTGGCTTTTAACCGGACCTTCTCCTTGACATTCAGGAGCCCGGCCAGGGGGGTGGCCACGTACCTGGGGAAGCAGTTGGGGACATAAATGTTCCCATTCCTGTCACCTGGATGATGTGGTCCCATCAAAGCCACACAGGGACCCACAACCGCTCAGTGCCTCGGTCTCCCCACCCTGCTGCGCCTCCTCCAGGGTGGGTTTTGCCACAGAGGAGCCCCCCAGGTCCCTCTGTCACGGGCTGTCCCCACTCCGTTGAAGGGTGGCCCCCCCTTCTCTTGCCATCCCAACAAAGCCGGGTCTGTTCCCATTGTTTGCCCAACAAATCGCTCCCTAGGCACCGTGTTTGTGTGGGGAAGGGGGAGCACAGGGGTTTGTGGGGGGGATCAGGACCCCCAGCTGGGCTGAGCACAAGGTGCCACACGCCAGGGCTCAGCCACAGCCCCCAGGGCACGGGGAGAGCCGGGGCAGGGGCTCAGGATCCGTCCCCACCCCCAGGGAAGGGACTCACGTCTCAAAGAGGTGCCGGACAACGAGGAAGACGAAGGCCAAGGGGAGGGTGATGTACAGGTCAGAGGCTTTGGCATAGACTCGCCCATCCCGGTCCTCCAGGTCAGCCCAGGTGAGGTTTGCCGGGAGCCAGAGCCGTTCCCACCAAAAATAGCTGTACAAGGTCTGAAACATGCTGAGGGGAGGGAAAGGGGGAGAGGTGAGGGGGGCATCTCCGAGGAGACGACTGATCCCACAGCCCAGCCCCACCAGGCACCCCAAATTCCACCTCTGCTCCCAGGGAGGCCCCGGTGAAATCCCCGTCGGAGCAGCCGGCTCGGGCAGCCGGGACTTTGCTCCCTGCAGCCCGGAGGTCAGAGGGTGATCATTAACAGGGGCCCCAGTCCCGCTTCCAAGCGGCAGCTCGGGGCCCTGGAACCCGCCCGAGGGGAGAGCTGGGCTCCCGCCTCCGCAGCCACACCGGGATCAGGAGCAGGGAGAAACCCCGGCTTCGGTTTCCGTGCCGAGAGCCGTGCGCGCATCCCGCGGCTCATCCAAACCCGATTCCCGGTGGGAAGCGGCGGCACGGAGCCCACCGCCGGCCTTCCCAGGCCGGGCACAGCACCAGCCTTGCGGGATTAGGGATTTGCTGGCCACACAATGAGCACCTTTGTGCCCTAAAAAGGCCCCGGCAGGGGAAGCCGCCCCTCAGCGCGTCCCGGCTCCCCGTCCCTCTCCCCCGGCCGCTTTTGGGGAGCCGGGATGGGGTGGCATCCAAAACCCGGGGCAAGCGAACCCCCGAGGCGGCGCAGGGATTGCGGCGAGGCCCGGGGCGGCTCCGCTGCGCTGGGGGAGGAAGAGGAACCACCGTGGCCGGTTTCGCAAGGGCAGGCGGGAGGGAGGTGCCGCAATTCCCGGCTCCCGCGGCTCTGCCGCGGGCAGGTAACGGGAGGGCGGCGTGGGAGGACGGGGTGAGGCCCCGGTCAGCGCCGGCAGCTCCTTCTCCCCCGGGGCACCGGCAGCGCGGCGGACACCGGGCCGGCGGAGGGGGCACCGCCGGGCCGCAGCCCTCCCCCAGAGGTGATTTTAGGAGCGATCCTGCTGGAAACCGACAAAACCCCGGCGTTTCCAAGCCGTGGACGGAAAAACGGCACCGGGAGGGCTCCGGGCCCGGGGGCTGCGCTGCCGTACCGGGTCGGGGGGCAGCGAGGGCCCCGCCCCGCCCGGGCGGCCCCGCCGGAGCCGGCCGAGGGCGGAGGGAGGCCCGGGATGGCTCCGGTGCGCGCCCAGCGCCCGCAGAAAGGCCCGGCCGCGGCGGGGGGGGCGAGCGGGAACCGGCCCGCGGCCCCCGCCCCTCCCGCAGCGGGGAGGCCCCGCTCGCCCCGGCCGCACTCACCCGCAGCCGCCGCCGGAGCCCGCCCGGAGCCCGCCCGGAGCCCTCACGGAGCCGCCGCCGGAGCCCTCACGGAGCCCTCACGGAGCCCTCACGGAGCCCTCACGGAGCCCGCCCGCCCCCTCCGTCCCGCGCGCGCCCCGCGCCAGGCAGCGGCGGCAGTGACGTCACCGCAACCCGGGAGTGACGTCACCGCAACGCCGCGGGGAGCGGCGCCCGCGGCGGGGCGGGGCGGGGCCCAGGCGGGAGCAATCGACCGCCGAGACGGGATCCGTGCAGCCCCTATAGTAGACGGCCCTATATGTGCCCCACATTCCCCCTATAGACAGCCCCACATGTGCCTCACATAGACGCCCTATAGGCCCCGGGGTGCCCCATACAGACCCCCTATAGACAGCCCCACATGTGCCCTACAACCCCTATAGGCAGCCCTATATGTGCCCCCCAACCCCTATAGACAGCCCCACATGTGCCCCACATACCCCCCCCATACACCCCCTATAGACCCTGGGGTACCTCATATATACCCCCTAGAGACAGCCCTACATGTACCCCATATACCCCCCCATAGACCCTGGGGTGCCCCATATACACCCTCTATAGACAGCCCCACATGTGCCCCACATACCCCCTATAGACAGCTCTATATGTGCCCCACATTCCCCCTATAGACAACCCCACATATGCCCCACATACCCCTCCTATAGACACCCTGTACACCCCGGGGTACCCCATATACATCCCCTATAGACAGCCCTATATGTGCCGCACATTCCCCCTATAGACAGCCCTATATGTGCCCCCCATACACACCCTATAGACCCCAGTGTACCCCACATAGACCCCCTATAGACAGCCCTGTATGTGCCCTGTGCACCCCATACACACATCCAGGGTACCCCCTTATATGTCCCTCTGCACAACCTTGTGCAGGCCCTGCGCCCCCATATGCCCCTGTACAGCCCCGTGTGTGCCCCCGGCTCCCCCGAACCCCACCCGCGCCCCGTTTGTGCCCCCGGCTCCCCCGAACCCCACCCGCGCCCCGTTTGTGCCCCCGGCTCCCCCGTGCCCCGTTTGTGCCCCTGGCACCCCCACACCCCACCCGCGCCCCGTTTGTGCCCCCGGCTCCCCCGAACCCCACCAGCGCCCCGTTTGTGCCCCCGGCTCCTNCGGAGCCCTCACGGAGCCCTCACGGAGCCCTCACGGAGCCCGCCCGCCCCCTCCGTCCCGCGCGCGCCCCGCGCCAGGCAGCGGCGGCAGTGACGTCACCGCAACCCGGGAGTGACGTCACCGCAACGCCGCGGGGAGCGGCGCCCGCGGCGGGGCGGGGCGGGGCCCAGGCGGGAGCAATCGACCGCCGAGACGGGATCCGTGCAGCCCCTATAGTAGACGGCCCTATATGTGCCCCACATTCCCCCTATAGACAGCCCCACATGTGCCTCACATAGACGCCCTATAGGCCCCGGGGTGCCCCATACAGACCCCCTATAGACAGCCCCACATGTGCCCTACAACCCCTATAGGCAGCCCTATATGTGCCCCCCAACCCCTATAGACAGCCCCACATGTGCCCCACATACCCCCCCCATACACCCCCTATAGACCCTGGGGTACCTCATATATACCCCCTAGAGACAGCCCTACATGTACCCCATATACCCCCCCATAGACCCTGGGGTGCCCCATATACACCCTCTATAGACAGCCCCACATGTGCCCCACATACCCCCTATAGACAGCTCTATATGTGCCCCACATTCCCCCTATAGACAACCCCACATATGCCCCACATACCCCTCCTATAGACACCCTGTACACCCCGGGGTACCCCATATACATCCCCTATAGACAGCCCTATATGTGCCGCACATTCCCCCTATAGACAGCCCTATATGTGCCCCCCATACACACCCTATAGACCCCAGTGTACCCCACATAGACCCCCTATAGACAGCCCTGTATGTGCCCTGTGCACCCCATACACACATCCAGGGTACCCCCTTATATGTCCCTCTGCACAACCTTGTGCAGGCCCTGCGCCCCCATATGCCCCTGTACAGCCCCGTGTGTGCCCCCGGCTCCCCCGAACCCCACCCGCGCCCCGTTTGTGCCCCCGGCTCCCCCCAACCTTGTGCAGGCCCTGCGCCCCCCCCCGGCCCCCCCGAGCCCCGTGTGTGCCCCTGGCACCCCCGAACCCCACCCGCGCCCCGTTTGTGCCCCCGGCTCCTCCGAACCCCACCCGCGCCCCGTTTGTGCCCCTGGCACCCCCACACCCCACCCGCGCCCCGTTTCTGCCCCTATGGAGCCCCACGACCCCACTCGCCCCTGTCGCCCCCTGGCGGCCGCGCCGCGCCACTGCACCCCACGCAGGGACCCCGAACTCGCGGCGGAACCGCGACCCCAAACCCCCCAAACCCCAAAACCCGCGTGTCCGTGGAGCGCAAAGCCCCCACTGGTGTCAGGCTGCCAGATCCGTGTGCAGGGGGGAAAAGTCCTTTACTTGCCAAGGGCTAAGGCCACATTTTGAGCAGGGGGTGCACGTGTCCCCCCGTCTGTACGTCCACCCGTGTCTCAGAGCACGGACTGAGGTGTGGGGGTTCCCCCTGAGTGGGACCCCCCTGTGTTAAGGCCACTGGGAAGTTTGGGGTGGTCCTGGGGGTGGCCTCAGAACGTCACCCCTCACCCGTGTGTCCACTCCAGCCCACAGGGACCCCCCAGGATCTCCACGGGGGACGCAGAGTGGGGACTCGGGGGGCTGTGGGCGTGGGGACCCCACGGGCACGAGGTGCTACAGGAGGGTGCAGTCCAAATCCGGCCTCTGCCGCTGCCGCCGCTCTCCGGCCAGACGCCCGCCCGCCTGCAGGGACAGGGACGGGGGACAGGGACAGAGGGACAGGGACAGGGACAGGGACAGGGACAGGGGGACAGGGACAGAGGGACAGGGACAGGGACAGAGGGACAGGGACAGGGACAAGGACAGGGCTGAGTTGTGGGGGGACCTGCAGAGACCCCCACAACCCCCCCAGGGCCATCAGCACCCCCTGGAGTGGGGGTTACCTGTGCTGGGAGCAGCTGAGGAGCAGCAGGGTGAGGATGAGGATGAGGATGGTGCTGCTGGTACTCCTCGTGCTGCAGCTGCCGTGCCAGCTCCAGGTCGCTGAGCACGGAGGGCGAGTCCAGCCCCTGCTGCAGGGACAGGGCCACCATGTAATCCTGGCAGGAGCACAGAGAGAGGGGTCAGCACCTCTGGGATGCCCCGTGGAGCCGGGGTGGCACTCGGGTGTCCCCTGCTCGTCCCTCACCTGGTCCACTTGTCTCTGCTGCCGCCGGGGGTCCGGGGGGGCCGCGGTGGCCCCCTCCTTGCCCAGGGGGTGGCTGAGGTGGAACTCGGCGTCGCAGAAGCAGCTGTCCCCATCCACACTGTGCAGGCTCTCCCACACCACCCCCTCCTCCTGCAGGAAGCCCTGGTCCGTCACCAGCAGGTAAAGGTGGCCCTGGGCACAAGGGACGAGGGACAGTCAGGCGGGTGGGTGTCCCGGGGGGGGCCCAGCAGGGTCCGGGGCCGCACCTTGTGCTTGATCATGGTGCTGAAGTGGTTGTTGCGGAAGAAGACGCCGAGCTCGCCCTCGCGGGCGCGGGCCGTGAGCTCGCAGAGCCCGTGGAAGGTCAGCTGCGAGGCCGTGGACTCCAGGAACTGCTCGGCCACCAGCCCTGCGGGGACAGCGGGGCCATGGCGGGGCTGGGGGCGCCCGGCCGTGCCCCCCGGGCCGGGAGTGGGGCCCTTACCTTGGCTCACCAGGCTGGAGTCGCTGGCGTGCTTGCAGGTGATGATCTTCTCCACCAGCTGGTTGTAGCTGAGCCTGCCCACGGCCTGGACCTGCTCCGGGCTCTGCGGGGCGCAAGGGGCAGGGGGTGAGCTCCTGGTGGGCACGGAGGGGGTCTGCGAGGGATGGGAGCACCCAGTGCGACCTCCTGCCGTGGTCAGAGCAGTCATCCACCGGCCAAGGTCCAAAACCCCGTCCCAAACATCGCAGAGGGCTTTGGGTTGGGAATTTCTGGGATCATCTGGATGGCCCCAAACCGGGACACCTCCTGCTAGACCAGGCTCCTCCAAACCCCATCCCAACCTGGCTTTGAGCACTCCCAGGGTTGGGCCATCCATCCTCAGCTTGGTCAGGACGAGCCCCAGCCCCTCACAGCAGAGCTCTCCAGCCCTGGCATCACCTCCGTGGCCCCACAGAAGCCAGCAGCCAGGTAGGGGGGCTCACCTGGGGGTCCACCAGCCAGCCGTGGTAGAGTGGGATGTTGAGGAGGTCGAAGACGATGCACTCGGGGGTGTACTCGAAATCTGAGACCCCCGTGAACCTGACGTTGACGTCCAGCCCTGTCGAGAGCTTCGGCAGGACCGTCATGGTGTCGCTGATGTTCTGGGAGGCAGCAGAAACACGGGGGGCAGGGGGTCACTCCTGAAGGTGCCACCCCAAATCCAGCAGCCAGCCAGACAATGGGCTTGGACCTTCTGGGGCTGCTCCTCACCTGCTGGAAGTTCAGCTGCAGCCCCTCCGAGGTGTCCCGGGGTTGGGTGGCCAGGATGCAATTCCCTGCGAGGCAGCGGGGTCACCCCTGCCCCAGCACTGGGGCGGGAACGTGGGGGTCCCACTGGGGTGGCAATGTGGGGGTCCCAGTGGCACTGGGGTGGGAATGTGGGGGTCCCACTGGGGTGGGAATGTGGGGGTCCCAGTGGCACTGGGG